TAGAATACATCATGACATTCAATGTAGCCTTCTAATGTTGGAATCCTAAGTCTAGAACAGTTGGCTATACAACTCAATAGAACTCCTGAAGTGTTGACGAAACTGTTTAATCTGTTGTACAATGTCATTTCATGGCTATCATACCAGGCATAATGTATTGTGTGGCCACTTGCAGAACAGTGCTGACCAGTGACTGTATTGCTGAACACAGCAGAGAGAGCACAGTGGAGGTTAGCACCATTACAGTCACGATTCGCCCTTTCTGGTTATTACTGCACATCTTGGCTTCTCTCCTAATTATTCTACATCCACATTACAGGCCTGAAACACATCTGGTACCATGACATTGATATGAGGAATAGCTGGTTCAACAGCCTCTTGGTGTATTCCATTAGGATATTGTACATTGGCGTTGGGGTGGGTGCGTCCAAACTGGCACCCTATTCCCTATATAGTGCACTACTTTTGACCAGAGCCCTCTGGTCAAAAGTAGTGCACTATATAGGGAGTAGGGTGCCATTTGGGACACAACCTTGGTATCACACACTGCCCTAGTGCTGAACCTACAGCCACTTCTGACAGAGGTAATTGTCTGCCTGACACCTAGTATTTATTGTCTGAATCTCAGGCCATCTCAGTACTAATGTATCTTAATTAAGCCACCAGCCTTTTCACCCAACCGGTGTTCAATTTTCTCGCTGTGCTCTCAGGCAGTCAGAGTGACACAGAGACATATCCAGGGAGGACAAATACTTCAGATTAGGGCTTCCAGATTATAATAGAGTGGGTGCTCTCTCACTCCAAACCCCACCCCCTCCCTCTGTATGGCAAGGATTACAGTGCAGAGGGGAGGTAGCCTATCTGTGGTATCTAGCTGCTGTAATTACTGATTACAGCCTGTAGAGCGAGCCTGGACTGGAATGATACAGGGAGGCAGTGAAACAGGGGCGGCTGCCTGGCCCTCATTGATCTGAGTAATTACGCCTGTGTCACTGTTGGACCAACGGCAGACGGAACAGCCGAATGGAAAGCAGGATACAGTGGGTCAGAAACTAACACTGCACACTCAACGGCTGGGTGGCTACGGTGGTCACGCTTAGCATAACTCATCATGTTATGCAAAGTAGGTCTAAGGTTGCGTCCCAAATGGCACCCTGTTCCCAATAGAGGCCCTGGTCAAAAGTAGTGCACTATGTAGGGAATATGGTGCCATAGGCTGAGACTGTCTGCATGTGGTCAAAATACTGATTAAGCTTACTTGGCGTTAACTACCCAGTGATATCCTACATTTTTTTACATTTTAGTCATTTAGCAGACGCTCTTATCCAGAGCGACTTACAGTTAGTGAGTGCATACATTTTTCATATTACATCTGGTATTGTTGTTGTTGTTTAATCCAATTACAAAGCAATAATTCTTACGGACTCTGATAAACATAAATTTAATCACCTAAGTACCACAGTGTAGAGAGTGAAACTGAGAAAGCAGCCAGCAGGGACTTGGGAGGCCTGCTAAATTAGAGATTTCCATTTGACCTCCAGAGAGAGAGAGCAATTGAGGACAAGAAACTAAGACGCTAAGTGGCCACTTTGATGTTTGCTGTGTCATCTTGTCATTTCACTCAATTTGAAATATTTGTATTGGAGAGAGAACAGAGTCGAGAGGAGAAGGCGAGAGAGAGAGAGGGACTGTTTGAGACAGAGAGGGAGAGAGGAAGACAGAGAGGAGAGAGGGAAGGTGAAAAAGATGGGGAGAGGGAGATATATGGGGTGTCTCAGAAAGAGGTCATCCTCTCAGTTAGGAGATCTGAGTGATGAGATTCAGTGGCTGAGGAGGAACACTCTGTGCCCTTCTTTCCCAAATTACTCTGACACATTATAAAAGAGCCCGGTTTGGTGTCAATGAGACACCCAGTAACTGGGCTACACTCATGCTTTTCACTAACACACCCAGGGCCAGAACACAGAATACTGTCTTTTTGACACAGGTAGGAGAAAGAGGCTTCAGACAGTCACTTCAGGCACTACCTCATTGAGCTGAACTCTACTACCTTTCTTTCTTCATGTTTAACGGCCAGGATTCCTTCCTGATTACCTGATGAGGAACAACTCTAGTTTTTCCTGGTCAGGTTACCCTACTCATGTCCTCTATTAAGGCCCCTAATGCATTCTGTCGTCACAGCCGCACACACATCAGTATAATGCCTTTACATTGCACCACACTGTATGTATATGTCCCCAGACACAGCAGCTTAACGTATAGGCTTGACTACATTATTCATGCCTGACGACACCACTGTATACATGAGTGTGTTTACTTCCCTATACATTACAGCACCACTGACAAAAGCGAAGGCATTTGCTCTGCTTTCACAGAACATGCGGTTCTGGTTTACATCTCCTTTCTTCAATCCTTTTCTCATCTTTCTTTCTTTAATACGCCTCCCTCATCCTCTCTTCTTTCTATTTTTGTTGTTTAAACACATCTCCCCCCTGTCATTGTCTTTCCGTTTCCCCGGCCCACTCTTCTTCCACTCTTTCTCTCCATACCCCCCCCCCCCCCCCCCCTTTCCCTCGCTTCATATCAGCCCCCACCTCTTCTCCCCCTCCTCTTCCCCCCCATCACATGGCTGAAAACATGCAGGATGCTTTGCGGCCAAAAAGCACAATACAACCTGCCAGACAGTAGAGCAGGCAGCATGAGGTCAGTCAGAGCAAGCAAGGCAAATGAAAGTAGGAAGCCACCGACATGAGTGGAGACATAGAGATCCTATAATTGAGGATTCTATAAGTAATTCTATGAGTTGGGGGAGGTACATGTTGAAATGGGTTTACTGCTGCTGGGCATGATTGCAATCCAGGCAGAGCTAGGAACAGGGAGATATCAGTTGGTGTTGTATCGGACCGTTGTAGTTCCACAAAGAGATTGGCTCCATGCCAGTAGCTAGTTTGTCCTCTGGAAGTGGTTGTTGTGAATGTGTTTTGTCATCCCCATGGCCTTTTACACACATCCCTTTAGAATGTGTATAGGAAGGAGTGGAGAGCCAGAGAGATGAGGGATGATAACGTCCTCTCCTCTCCTCTCCCTCTCTCTATCAGTTACTGGGACTTTTCAGGGCAGGTTGTCGTTTATTGGGATGAAGCGATTTCCACTAGCTTGGCCAGCTGCAGAGTCAAAATTAGCTAAACAACGGTTTATGAAAACACAAATTAGCTTTTTGGTCTTAATTTAAGGTTAGGGTTAGGCATACGGTTAGCAGTGTGGTTAAGGTTAGGGTTTGGTTTAAAATCGGATTGTATGACTTTGTGGCTGTGCCAGCTAGTGACTACAGAGCTGCCTCCAGTACAGGAGTCATCCCAATAAATGCCAACCTGCGTTTTCAGGGAGAGAGCTGCCTCATATTTATGAGTTTGAGTGTGTGTGTCGTAGCAGGGAGAGGGTCATGGCTGCAACAACACAGCAATCCCATTTCATAGCAGCATCCCCCAGAGATGTGTACAGACTGTACAACGCCAGCCAGCGCCCCTGACTGGGGGGAGGATTATAGCCCTGTGTTTCTATGTAGGTGTGTGTGCGTGCGCGCATGCGTGTCATATGTGTGTAAATATGTGCGTACGTGCTCTGCTTGTGTTAGCCTATATCCTCTGTGTCTCTAGCCTATATTATGTGCAGTCTGCATAGCTATATGGGTGTGCTTAGAAATGTGTTTCTAGAAATGTGTTTGTATTGGAGAGTTTATCTAATTACCAGTATTACACCACTTAGTACTGCTGACCATGATATTTTCTGTTGCCAATTTAAGAGAGCAAGTACAATAGCTCTAGCTACTAAATAAAATTGGGAAAAGGATCCATTTTTGCCTTATAAAATATTATCCTTTTTGATGTTGAATAATTAAAATGTAATTGATGATAATATTTCATAACCCACCCTATTAGGTTTTAAGTATTCATAAAGATGTTCTGTATGAAATCCTTTGTCAGAGGATTGGTCATGGGAGCCGCAGATTGTGCAGGCTTTTGTTCCTGCCCAGCACTTAAAACCTATTTCAACAAGGGTCTTGATTGTTAGTTCAATCTGGTATTTCAGCACTGAGTTCGAACAAAAAGTCTGCACAGCTTACAGCCTTCACATGACCATGTCTGAAGCACTGTACACATTCCAAGTTGGCCAGTTGTAAGGGAAATGTAAGCCTCTGATTGTGTCCCAAATGGCACCCTATGCCCTATATAGTGCACTACTTCTGACAAAAGCCCCATGGGCCCTGGTCAAAGTTAGTGCACTATTAGGAAATACTGTAGGGTGCCATTTGGGAGACACATTTCTCACAAAAGTCTAAAAGCTATTGAAATTACCCTGCTACTGTGTGTAGTACAGCACATGTAGGATTCAACCTGGAGAAGAGAATTGCACACGTCTTTTGTTTCATTTTGCAAATCCATCCTCAGACCTCCGCGAGTAAACCATAGGGGAGATTGAATTTGCGTGAGGAATCATATCAAACCTGTCTGGAACACGCTGCATATTGGATTTCACCTTCTGTAGGAGAGAACGATGGTCAATGTGTAGGACACTTGAAAATGTTTGCGATGTATAGATTGACTAGCAACGTGAAGTGACCTTCTCGAGTAGATTAGGCTTAAGAAGATAGTTTCTTAGAGAAATCAGAGTAAAGCCAAGTCAATGAGACAAATGTTCAGGTTAATCAATGATTCTGCGAGACAATCATAAAACATTGCTTGCGTCCCAAATGGAACCCTATTTCCTATATAGTGCACTACTTTTAACCAGAACCCTATCGGCCCTGGTCAAAAGTAGGACACTATAGGGAATCGGATGCTATTTGGGACGTAGGTAGCTACTGATTAGGAGAAGCCTTGAAATGGTGAGTGGTGAGTCACTCTCAGTTGGAGTCAGCAGGAAGGCTCACAGTGAGAGGCAGGCAGGCAGGCAGCCAGTGGTCCAGTGCTAATCAGTGTTGTTGTGCTTCTTTTTGCAGAGCAGCCAGAGCTTTTGGAGATTACCTGTCTCACACACACCCTGAGAACCGTGCCGGCTCAGGTAGGTAACCTCTTCACCTGTGCCCAGCCTCATTTGGTAGCCTACATCCCAACCTCATCTAGTACATTACATAGCTTTCCTTATCACATGGCTTCACATTTCCTATAACTTTCCACATCACACGGCCTTCCTCTCATCCCACTGTATAGCAGTTAGAATGCTCTGAAAACTTGATATCTGGCATATTTTACTGTGAGAGGGTGTATCTTCCCGAGGCCCAGGACCAAGTAAGAATGCCAAACCCCTTTTATCCTCCAACTCATCCTCTCAAAATCCCTCCTAATTCTCCTCCCCTCACTCATTCCCCTTCTCCGTCATCCATCCCTTCACATCTCTTTCCCCCTCTCATCTCCCAAAAGCTTTGTTGGCTCCCTGATGTTTGCTCAAATGTTGCCAAGGCCTTGAGAGCACAAGACGAACAGCTCATCTCTTTGTACCCCCCCCCCCCCCCCCCCCTCTCTCTCTCTCTCCAGATCACCTGCTGTCTGATACCTTTATCGGCCAAGACACAGACTCCCCTGACATCAGTCGTCTCCACAACAACCTGCACCCTCAGAACCAGGCACACAGTCTCCAGCCCCAGCCCAGCACCCTGCAGCCAGGCACTCTGCAGCCCACAGGCACCTCCAAGAGCAGGCTCTCAGCAGGGCTCTTAGCGGAGCACAGTTTCTCCTCTGAGGAGCAGCAGCCGCCTCCCAGGTCTGCGGAGGGAAGCCTGACCGGCCTGAAGCCAGCTGCCCAGCGGGTCTACACCATCACCAGGGAGGGAGGCATGCTAGGGGGCCGAGGCAGTGAGGAGAGCCTGGAGCTGGAGGTGCTGAAGCAGCCCCTGTCCCCTCCTCCCTCCGCCAACCAGCCCTCGTTCACCAATCAACAACCACCAGGCAGCAAACACCACCGTGGCGATGGCAACCATCACCGTGGCAACCATAACCATGGCCCACAGAACCACAGGTCCCAGCCCCTGCAGAGCTCGGGGAGCGCCCATAACATCCGGGACTGGGGGGTGCGGAGAGGGGGCTCGCGGGAGGACTGCACCCCAGAGTGTGTGACCTGCATCAGGGCCCCGTGTCAGAGCCAGCGCTCCCTGGATCTGGAGACGTCCCCGCGAGACGGCGGCAAACCGAGGAAGAAGCTGGAGAGGATGTACAGCGAGGACAGAGACAGAGACAGACAAGGCTCTGCTGAGGAGAGAGGTGAGGAGGAGGAGGGGGAGGATGGAGTGGGGTGGAGAGGTGTCTCTTTATCTCCATCCCTTCTCCACTATGATATGATTAATTTGCAACAGAATGTTTTTCTCAAACGCAAAGCACTTAAAGTTGGAATCCGTATCGGTGAAACTGCCATGTCCGTTTGCAATATTACAACAACAAAGATGTTACTTCAAACAATGAACACTGTTGTTTGTATTTATTTATCTGACATTATTGCACGCGCGATAGAACAGCAGAGTATGTACTACTTATTTTGCACCTTATTCCCTACAGTATATAGTGCTCTATAAAGGGAAAAGAGTGCTATTTGGGACCAAGACTCCTTTACATGGCTCTGCCCTGGACACAGTTGTTATTTGTATTTATTTATCTGACATTATTGCACGCGCGATAGAACAGCAGAGTATGTACTACTTATCTTGCACCTTGATGATGGAGCACCTCTCAGTCATTTAATACAGAGTTTCTTAAAATGGGGCCTGCTGAGGTACTGCAGGGGGTCCGCGGCTAGATCTCTCTCTCTCTCTCTCTCTCTCTCTTTTCTTTTCTTTTCTTTTCTCTTATTTATATATATACAGTACCAGTCAAAAGTTTGGACACCTACTCATTCCAGGGTTTTTCTTTATTTTTACTATTCTCTACATTGTAGAATAATGGTGAAGACATCAAAACTATGGAATCATGTAATAACCAAAAAAGTGTTAAACAAAATATATTTTATATTTGAGATTCTTCAAATAGCCACCCTTTGCCTTGATGACAGCTTTGCACACAGTTGAATTCTTATGTTGTGGGCTAAACTGCCGCTTTGTTTCCTTGGTATGTAGAGGACAACCCTAATAGCTGGTTCCCCAAAGAGAATATGTTCAGCTTCCAGACGGCAACCACAACAATGCAGGCGTGAGTATAGGATACGTCCAGCCCAGATATAACACACTCCTACTGAACATGACATGGCTTCCTCAAGTTCTTTGTTCTCAACACGGATCTAAAGATCGATGAGAGTTTAGAGTGCCTCCCAAATATGCACCTTATTCCCTACAGTATATAGTGCTCTATAAAGGGAAAAGAGTGCCATTTGGGACGTAGCCTTAGACTCCTTTACATGGCTCTGCCCTGGACACAGTTGGAGGCCAGTAGTTTGAGAGAGACTCTGTCATACTGTACAGAAGGACTAATGACTGTGCAGGGCCTTCGGACCTTGGGGACTCTGTGTTCCTTGAGCAGGTTCATTATTCTCCACACATACGCACACAAGGCACACACTAACACACACACACACACACAAACACACACTCTGCTGACTGATTAATTATCACCTGTCTGGTTGAACTAGTAATTACGGCCCACACACACCCTGCCCTCCCAGCGGGCCACTGTCATTCTCCCTGCTCCCTCTCTCGCTCCACTCATCTCTCCACTCCTCTCCTATCTGGCCGTCCCCCTAGATCCCACGCTCTCTCTCTCCCTCGCTCCCTCTCTGTGCACATCTGTCAATGTCTTTGTTTATTTTTCTTCTCCATCTGTCTCTGTCCCTCCATCCCTCTGCGTCATCTGTCCTCCCCTCATACTCCTCATGGATCCACACCACGTGGCAGAGGCCCTGCGCTATATTACCTATATAGTGCACTACTTTTGACCAGGGCCCATAGGGCTCAATTTGTCCTTGACTGGAATATCATATGATTGACAGCTAGCTCTCCCAACTGTATATCTCTCTGTCAAGTTCTTTATTTATTACTAAAGTGTCTAACTGGTTTCTCTCTTTCCTTACCTTCCTCCACACGGCCTGCACCAACTCCTGCGCATACAGAATATCGTGAGTAACTCTCTCTTTCTCTCACTCCTTCTCTGTGCCCCTCCGACAACTCACTATTCAACTCTTGGCCATCACTCCCTGTGTGCTATTAGCCACTGTCTCCTGTGTCCGTATTAACCTCCCTGCTGGACTGAGTGTTTGAAGTTATGGAAAAACATTACTGACTATTCAAAGCTCCAATGAATAAACAATACATATTCTACACAATAGGTCTAAATTGTAAATAAGTACAGATTGCATTCTCACTATAACAGTACAGCTAGTATTATATTGTATTAATCTATGGATCAACAATGCAGAACATAACAGACAGAGTACTGTAGCACAATGAGTCACACTAGAAATGGTAGTGTAGTGTTCTGTTCCTCTGTAGCCAGGGTCATAACTCACACACACACACACACACACACACACACACACACACACACACACACACACACACACACCCCTCTCCAGACTGATATTGTTTTAAGTTTGGCTTCGTCAGTTCATTCGGTGCAACAAAAGGACGACTGACTCTTCAAAAGGACGCATTCGGAAGGAACATAGAATTGCCTAGAGCAATATAGGCTTACTGTAGTTACGCAATATTGTAAGTGCATAAGTGTAATGAAAAGTACGCATTGTAGGTGGTTTCAAGAAAAGGTCATTATGCCACTCATTGTTTTAGTGGTCCCTGTCTAGATAGAAGTAGAGGCCGCATCCCAAATGACACCCTATTCCTTATATAGTGCACTACCTTGGTCAAAAGTAGAGTACTATAAAGGAAATAGGTTCCCATTTGGGACGCTTTGAGAGTGAATAGATTATATGTAATAATTAAGCAATAAGGCACAAGAGACTGTGTTATGTGCTGAATACAGTCACAGGTAAATGCCGTTGTTCAGCCAGTCAACCCATTTCACTTTGACTGTATTCCGCACATAGCACAGTCTCGAGTGCCTTATTGCTTCTATAAAAAGGTTACCAACATATTAAAATTGTAATAAATGACACATTTTCATTAACTTTATTTTGATAATTCAATTCATACTATTTAATTCTGACTTCAGAGGAAAGAGTCCGGACAGAACCTGGTCATCAATTCTATTGACAATGTTGTTAGGGTTGTTCTTTCAATGCTGAAACTGGTTGTTCTGTCTATACTTCTAACAAACAAGCTAAACTAGCGAGCTAGCCTACAGTTTATGTAGTTACTGTATGTCTGCTAACTTTTAAGATGTTTTGTTCACATTAATCTGTACATTGTCATTTATTGTGGATCCACTATAAAAGTGTCCCATGTCGTCTAGTACATTGTCTCCATTCTCTGGTGCTGATGTTATGCAGGCTGACTAAAGCCTGTCGCATGGTTCCCAGTCGAAACAGTTATATATTATGATGACATTTTGTGACGTTTTTGTTCGTTTTGGTGTTCAGCAGTTTTTTTCCCCGGCTGTTCTTGCAAACTAAAAATAATTAACTTGAGAAATACTGCATCAAACATTTTAGTTAGTTAGATAGTAAAATTGCACAACTAAGACCTCTTTGGCAAAAACGTCAAAATGACAGATTTTTTTATTTATCTTAGATTAATGGACTATTTTGATGAAGTGTTTCTGGCTATGATGTTGCTACGGTGGCTCAAGAGGGACAACAGGAATATTGCCGCATTTTTCTCGTTTTTCAAGCAAAGGTCTTTAGGGAGTATGCACAGACGTTTGCTTCGCCTAGCCGAGTTCTGCTAAGAGCAAACCGAACCTATGTATACAGACGTCTTAACATTCTTGTCACTTGCTAGCTAGCTAGACAACTTCAGCTAACTCAGTCACGTCAAGCATTGCACCTGGAATGACAGCTTTTTTTCTATTTGCATTTACTATATACAGTACATATCCATAACAATGACATTGATGCGTGATTTCGTCTGGCTCAGAAAAAGCTGAGTCTCGTCTGGACACCCATTCTCTCTCACAGGGGAGTTCGCATTTCAAAAGTGAAAGATTGTTTCCGAGGTTGGATATGCAGGAAACTAGGCATATATAAACCCCCACTGTACCAAACCAAATGCTAAGCTAAAAGCATGTGGAGATAATGTGCGAGTTGAAATGATTCAGACAGCAACACAACATGATGATATTATGACATGTTGGCTGACAACGTCACGAAAACAAAGCATGCGCATCAATGGTGCCAGAAACCGTGCGTTGTTAAGATTCATGACGGTGCTGCACTGTAAGTGAGTGCTAGCTAGCTACCGACCGGAACATTAAGCTAGCCAAGACCAACACGAACAAACAGACTATACTAAAGAAGTTAAATGTATTGTTATTTTAATGTTGGTAACCGTTTTATAAGAGCAATAAGGCACTCAAGACCGTGCTATGTGCTGAATTCAGTCACAGGTAAATGGGTTGACAGGCCATTCGCTTCGGGCCGAACAACGCCATTTACCTGTGACTGTATTCAGCACATAGCACGGTCTCTTGTGCCTTATTTCTTAACATAGAACAGGTTGTGAAGTCATTTGTTTTGTAATGATCATTAGTAGTTATTAGTTTATACCACAGCATACAGCAGTCTAGTTTATGCACAGTAGGCCACACACACACACACACACACACACACAGACAGCTCTCATCATCTGTCTGACAGGCAGTGATTGACCCCAGTGCGTAGAACATGGATAGCATCTGTCAAACATGATGGTTACTCCTTTTGGCACCCTGTCACAACATATATCCATTTAGGATGGTACACACACAAACACAATGGCTTGTTTCCTGTGTACTTTACCTCTGTGGCTCCGTGTCTGTCTGAGCTCTCCTCCTCTTGGTCTCTGATTGGTGGCTTGGTGGTATCCTTATGTGTGTGTTTGCAGTGTGTGTGTGTGTGTGTGTGTGGTGTACAACAAGCACCTGTGCTGCTGGCTCTAACCCACTAGCCACTAACCAGTGCTAATCCTCTGTGGCGTGGATCCCCTCTCACTAACGCCCTCTAACCCTGCACTCACAACCCTCAGCCCCTCACTTCTGACCTCTGAGCCCTGACGCTGTTAACACTGTGACGTCCCAGCAGGGCATTCCGATGCATTGCTGAGAGAAAGAGGAGAAAAGGAGAACAGGAGGCAACTGCTACTATAACGGAGACTGAGAGGTACCTTCCATGTCTGACCTGGCT